GTAGTGCAGTTGCTATTGCAGCAAGGACCAGACTGGCATCACACAGCAGCATTCCCCATTCCGGAGGAGTTTGCTGGATTTGAGACATAGGAAGGAAAATACTTCAAACTATCAGCTGCCAGTGAAATACTTCTTACTGGTCAGCTGTTGTGCAGATTGTAAATAACAAATTTACCCACTGCAGAGAATAACTACTCAGTAAAAGAAAGATAATAAGCAATGTTCAGGACACCTTTATTGGTTTTGGTTATTTTTAATTATTATAAATATTTATCCAAAAAGCAGTTTACATACTCCAGAGCAGTACAAAATGCAAAACAAAACCCATGAGTCCTACTGGCAGGACCAGGCACAAGGAAACAAGTGTGAGGGATATCAGCAGAGCTAAAAAGGAAAGGGACGAACAAGCAAGCAAGACATGTAAGGCAATTGTCTCAGAGAGGCGAAGAGCCAGGATTACAGAATCATGAAAAACCCTTGGAAGTTTTCAAGCCTGCAAAACAGCAAAATGCACAATTTGGAGGCAATTTTTAAGCCACGTGTTGTAGTCACCAGGCACTGGGTCAGCTATTTCTGACTGGGTGTGTTATGCACACAAGTAACGTTCTCACAGTACGCAAACGCCCAAGTAGCAAAGATGATTAAAATTTCATGGCAAACCGTGAAGAGCATGCACAAATTGCTCCTTGTTTCTGAGAAGGAGAACTGCTAAATATATCGGCAAACCCAAGGGTTGTGGCAGTAACCTACAGATTTTAGGCCAACTTTGTTTATTAGAGCCTTTATTAAGTGAAGAAAATGTGATTATTTTTTTCACCCGATCACTGAAACTTTTAAATTCATACGAGTTTTTAGATGTAAGAACAAAGAGGTCAGTATCTATAACAATATCTTAACAAGTGAATGAAAATAATAAGAGTAATTAATAATCATCAATACTAACATTAGTAGTGGGAATGTTTACATGAACAGATGTATAGATAACAATAATAATGTATCACAGTCCTTAGACCACAAGTAGGAGAAACAGGACAAACAAACCAGGTTTTTTTAAGAGGTTACCCAAAAGTTTGGGCCTGAAAACATCTACACCTGTGGGTAATTTGTTAACTTGAAAGCCTTCTACATGGGCAATTTCCCAACAGGTTTAACTGGGATCTTCAGTGCCTTGATAAAAGCTCAGTCTCCCACGGAATAACAGGACGTGTCAAGACAGAGAATACTTTAAAATAAACTAAGTGATACATGAGACACCATGTTAAATGCAGGGGCAAGAGTCAACTATATTTATCTACTTAAGCTACAGCATGAAAATGCTCCAGAGAGGTTTTATTACTATGAAGTACCTTGCACCCATAACGAAGACAGTATAACAGAAAAATAGAGTCTCTCCGCATCCCCCAACCAAGCCCAAGCTGAAACGATGACTATCTTTTCTCCTCACGAGATGCCAAGTGTCCCATTGTTAAACCCACTTTGGAAGCAGACCCTCCAATAAAGTTTAACAATTTAGTCATATAATTGCCTTTAATGATTTGCAAAAGCTTTTTGGAATGCAAGTGACACCAAGACCCACAGCATGCAGTGCCTGGCTTGCATTCCTCAGCACTCCTCACTATCACACATCTTATTAAGAAAAAAAAAATCCTAATTTTTTTCTTAACTGACCCACTCTTAACTATTCATTTACATAGCACTTAACAATAGCGAATTGCAAGACTCTGCTTCTCTTGATGCGAGCACCATCTTACACCCCTTGAACACCCGCTAGAATCAAAAGCACTTGCAGAGCAAAGCACTCCTCAGTCCAAACAGGGGCAGAACAACACATCCACAATAAAGACACCAGAACCACCTGGCACATATCCAAACACGTATTTCCTTCACTCATTTTCAAATCCTACTGTCACCAATTCCCATATACGAACAGGCTGTCCCTTGAGTCCCCAACGGTCAGCTGCAGGCATTTCACTGAGAATAAACAACTCGGTGCCGACTGGAAATCAGAACCCCTCACTGTTCTTTCCCCTGTCTTCATAAAACATTCATAGCTCTTCATTTAACCACGTGCCATAAAGCAAACACCCCCCACCAATACACATGTACCTCTGAGGGATGTCACTCCAAGATTTTGAATGCTAAGTATTAAAGAGCAGACTGCTAGCCTGTGCCTGAGGCCTCTGGAGAAAGAGGATGTCCAGCAGAACACCCTTTCCCTCCCATGAAGCTGCTATCTCTTTTGCACAGAGCAGCACGGGACTCAACAGCCAGCTAAAAATGCTGCTGTTCTGAATGTGCACCTTCTGTGCATCCATCACAGGAAAACCTTAACAGTAAAGCTCTGTGCCAATTCCAAGGATCTGTAAATGCATTTAAATTTTACTTAAAACCAGTTTTCTTGAGTTATTGGAGACTCACAGGTGCAACAACACAAAGCCTAAATGCTTTAAAATTTTTTCTTTAAAAAAGGTAGTGATGCATGTGTTTAATTTTGAAATATTTTAAAAGTATCAGATTTTCAGGCTTTCCTTCATTAACAAAGAGACTACGAGCTCACCTAGTCTTTAAATGAGGGCCAGGATTCTGGTGCATTCACCATTCGCTCCACTCCAGAGACCTGAAATACTCAAAGAAAACTCCAAGTGTAGCTAGATTTGGCAGTTTGCAGGTCTGATGTCACTGCCCTTGGAGCCTGCATAATCCCTGCCCAGAGGACAAATTTAACTGCTGACAGGTCTCCTTTGATCGGCTGCATGATTCTGGTTGCTGCTTGGCTGCTGTCAGCTCCATATTTCTATTAACGTCTGAACTTTTCCATCCTCTCAGAATCATTCTCACAGCTTCATTTATAAATGACTCAGAATAGCACCACCTCCCACCCCAGCTTTGCTCACCAGTGACACAATAAATCTGCAAGTGTGCACTGACACCATTCGGTGCACAAAACATACATGTGCTGAGGCTGGTCCAGCCAGGTATCTGAAACTGCGGAGATCCTTGTCAAGGACAGAGAGTGAGGCACCACCAGCTCCTGCTGCCCTGGTCACTTCAGGAGGACTAAGCTATATCCCTTAACCAAAGGCAGATCACAAGCACAGAGAGCAGCACCTGAGAACAGGCTTACTACACAACATGGGATGAATACTTCTATACGACAATACAGAAAATTTCATGCAATTCACCTGAGATTTGGACAAGATGGACACACTCAGAAAGACACCCATGCTTGCTCTGAGATTGTCAAAGGAGTAAGAAGCCAAAATTGTCCTGTAGAGACTTGCTCCCCATCTCCTGGGAGCAAACCTTAACTTCACTCAGATCCACCCCATGGACTTTGTGTGCAAGCCCGGAGCAGCAGAAGCCCTGCCTACACGGAGGGACTGTAGATTCCTCCCAGCACAGGATTTCATGGACATGATGAACCAACATTTGTCAAAGTCAGCCTCGGAGGAGGAGATGAGATTGGGTCATCTTTTAAAATCCCATCCAGACTTGCATTTTTTGACTTCCCTCACAGAGCAAGCAGAAACACAAATGGTCAAGTCAGGCTGCAGCTGGGCTAATGGCTAAATTTTTGTTCTCTGAAGTTACATCACTCTCAGGTGACTCAACATTCCTCCCAACTTGGCTCTTTCAAGTCGGCAGCCCTTTGGACCAGATTTTTCCACTTGAAGCCAATCAACTTCAAAGTGCCTAAGTTACAAATAATTATGTTTTTAAAGACAGTATGAGTATTCTACTTGGATTAACTGCAAGGAGAAGACAAAAAACAAAAAAGGGTCATCTTATGTAACAGACCACAAGTGAGAATAGAGAATACAGCTGGCAGCTTCTAGTGGGTCCCTGCAGGCCATTTTTCTCCACCGTGAAGCCATTGTACATCAGGCAGCCTCTGTTCAGAGTGAGCCTACATCTGGAATAAACTAGCTTGCTACAGATCAGAAAGCAAGCACGCTGCCAGCACAACGTGGGGAAGCTTGCCTTCTGCCTGCTCCGAGTGCACACCATCAAACACTCCATTTCATAAGCACATCATTAATAAAACAAAAAGGAACGTTTTTCCTCTGAGTGTCAAGGAAAATAAATAAATAAATAAATAAATGAAAGACATTGGAGCCGTTCTTTCCCCCCCTTCTCCTTCACTAGCTAATTGCAGGGGAGTTTAAAGGGGTTTGACTGATTTTGACTGTGCCGTGTTCAAGAAGCTTCAAGTCTATACATACAAAAGAAAAAATTGCTTTGAAATCTTTTATTAAAGACAAGCTTGGCAGGAGCAAGGTGTAAACAAATGGAAAACAGAAATGCAGTAAGTAGTTAAAAAGCCAGACAGTAAAATGGAAAATGTAAAATACTTGTCTAGGAAAAAGCACTTTCTGTCACAGCGGCAATTCAGATGAACCTGATGTAAATATGTAACAATTTAAAAATAAAAACAGAGATAGGCCCTGATGAGAATAGCAATAACCATGACAGGTCTGTACGCACACACTGACTGCCACAGATCCGAAAGCAGCCTGCGGGTTGTCTCCCTCCTGCAGCATTTCAACGTGGATGCTTACTGTCTGTCTGCAGGGACCGGTTCCCACTTACAAACTTCACAGGGTTAC